AGTGACCAGGGGTGGGGGGGGGGGGGGGGGGGGGGGGGGGGGGGGGGAGAGAGAGGGGGTGGGGGGGGGGGGGGGAGGGCAGCGTCGCACGGAGTCGGGGGGCTAGGAAGAAAGAGGCGGCAGGGAGGTGGGTTTCTCCCGGGGAGCGAGGGCGAGCGGCGTGTGCCACTGACGTGTGTTTGCACAGGCAACAGTGCTACATACCGTGGATGTATGCCAGCGAGCCGGCGCCGAGGTTCGTCTTGGAGATGGTCTCCAGCGGGGCGGTCTCCTCATCGTCATCGTCATGGTCCTCACCGTGGGGCTCATCGGCCGGGGTATGGTAGAGGGTCTCCTCGAGGGTACCATCGAGGACCTTCATGAAGCAGTGCGAGCCGGAATGGTCGTGCACAGGGCTTTGGATGGTGGTGTGGTGGTGGTTGTTGGGTTTTTTTTTCCCCCCCGCCCACCAGTACTGATGTTAGTGTGGCTGTTCCGCGGCATTCTTCTTTGGCGCGCACGTCTGCACCGGCCCAAGGCCCGGGCCAACGCCGGTCCTGATGGCACATACCTGCCCTGGCCCTCGGCCCAGGCGAGGACAATCAGGTTGAAGTGGCCGTTGCCGTCGTCCACCAGATTGCGGGTGTAGTATCCATCACGGAAGTGCGCATACGGGGCATAGTCCTCGGGCTTCGGGGTGTACAGCTGCATCAAGCGACGCACGCGCTTCAGGCGCCGGTAGCAGAGGGTGGAGATGCCCTCATTGTCGAACTCGGCCTTCAGCAGCTCGCGCAGGTGGTCGATGCTGGTGGGAGTGGTCGGCTCGTCCTCGGGGGCGAGGGGCTCCGTGTGCCGGGGGTTGGCGGCGTCGAGAAAGTTGATATCATCCGCCGGAGTCAGACATCGGGTGGGGCAGTTGCACACACGGGCTTTGGAGGGGAAGGCGTCGGCCGCGGGGCCAGCCGCATGCGTAGCGATCGTGTTCATGCTGCTCTTCGGCGGGGGAGGCGGAGGGGGGGGTGGTCGCCTGCATGGTACAATTAACAGAGTGTAAGAGGGGTGGTGGCGGGGAAAAAAGAGGAGCGAGAGGAGCCGGCGCAAGAGGGAGGGGAGAAGGGAGAGAGAGAGAGAGGAGAGGGGCGGAGAGACGCACCAGTCGGTGACGCAGCGGGAGGGGGGGGGCGACAGGAAAAAGGCGGACAGGGGGGTGTTGGAGGGGGGAGGGGGAAAGGGTGGACTCTATTGATGCTTGGGGCCGGTTGCGATGGGGGCGCTGTCAGAAAAGCGCCAGTGTTGCCTCCAGCCGCTTTTCCCGGATGGGAGTGGAGCGCCAACACCGCCACCCCCGGCGGGAGGAATACACGTTGGTGTTTGTTTTGGCCGCAGCTGACTTGATGTACCGCATCAGCCCCGCTCAGTCCCCCCCCCCTCCCCCTACCCCCAGAAACCGGCTGCCTGCCCATCTGGCCGCGCATTTGTTACAACGTCTGTCTGTCACGGTGAAGCCGTAATGATAAAGAAAAGAGACAGAGTTACCCACCGGCCGGGGGCGCGCGCATCCCGGGCAGGCAAAGGTGTGCTGGTTGTCAGGTCTAGCTCGCGGCCCCGTCTCTCGGGGCTCCCTCTCCCGGGGGAGCGGGGGGCGCGGGCTACTTGCCTGATTGTGCTTGTGCCCGGACTCGCGGGCGGCTCAGCGCGGCCGGACACCGGACCGATCGGGGCTGTGCATGGGGTGCGGTCATGCTTGAGGCAAGGGAACACCCGTCGATCGTGCTTGCCCGCCGCCACACACAGGCATACACATGCATGCGAAGAGGGCTGTTGCTCGCGATATTGTTCCCCTGTGTCCCGGCCGGGTGTCCCCCCCCCCCCCCACGGGAGGGCATGTGGCCCCTCCTCCACGCACCGGTACCGCACCACGACAGCTGACCCTTTCCTCGTCCTGCTTCAAGAGGGTGCTCAGACACCCCGCCTGGCCGGTCTTGCATGGTGAGATCGAGCCGGCCGCTCCGTCCCCCCGACGACTGGGATTGAATGGGCCTCCACGGCAATGTGACCGACCCGGCCCCCCCCCCCGCCGACCCATCAGTGACGGTCGATCCCTGCCTTCGGCCTGGCACGGGGCCGGGCACGGTCCTTGGTCCGTACACGCGCCTTCAGCTGGACGGAGCATTGGGATGCGCCCTCCCTCGCCCCCCCCTCACAGTTGGGATCTCGACGGCCGGCTGCCGCCC